GGGGGAAGGGTGTGATTACTTTGATCAATTTTGACAAGAAGAATTCCATCCAAAAATGGGATGCTCTCCAACATATTAAAAGCATCATGATGATCATGCAGGAAAAAAATGTGGGAGCGATACGAAGTCAAATATATTGGCACCCATTTGGGTACCTCAAGTTTGTCACTCGCATAAACTGGCATCATGTCTGCTCAGTTTTAAGAAGAGGAGAAGGAAACCAAAAGAGAAGCAGAAACAGAACACGTTGACTTTTGAATCATTAAACTTAGCAGAATACCTATAAAAAGAGGCACAAAATTACATGCACCGACAGCACACAAAGAAAGCACAGCAACCACCAGACTACAACTATCCTGCCAAGAAAACGTCAATTGAATGAATATATTCGGCGTTAATTATTACAGATCAATGCAATCTTAGATTGCACTGCTCACTTTAACCATCATATAATCGAGCAGCAATCTGAAGAATGCATTAATATAATTATATTTTTTAAATAATTCTTTTTCAAAATTCACTTTCATCTTTATTCTTTTACTCACACCAAGGAACATTCACATATCTTTTTTTTTTAAGTGCAAAAATATGAAAATTAAAATTAAAATTAACACATGATAATGATACTGAAGAGCTCAAAAGAATGATACAATGCCAGGTATCAAATTCAAAGTTCACCAATTACATTTAATTCATTTATTTTTTTTATAATGTTTTTTTATTCACTTCCATCTTTATTCTTTTACTCATATTAAAAGGAACATTCACATATATTTTCAAAAGTGCAAATATATGAAATTAAAAATTTAAATTAACATGAAACTGAAGAGCTTACAAGAATGATACAATTATATTTATACGATCGTTAAAATATGCAACGCCCAGCGCAATCTTAAGGTTGCACCGATTGGTAATTAGAGCCGAACAAATATTATAACACAGGCAAGGAAGATGCAGGTATCATTATAATCATGTAGACGTAGACCTAACAAAAGTGACAGATTTATTCAGCTTTTGGGTTTTCATGATCACCTCTATTCTCACACCGGGTAAGAAGTAGGCCTCTCACACGGGGTGAGAAGGCAAATCTTCTGGTTATTCTGACCCAGTGTGCATTCACCGCTTAGTGCATTGGCTCAGGCCGATCACTCCGGGTAGGATGGCGAGCCTTATAATCGCTATTCTCACCAGGTGTGTGTTCACCGTGATACCAGTGTAAACAAACGTTCCAGCGCTCTTGTGTTGAAAGGGTGAGAGAGAGAGAGAGAGAGAGAGAGAGAGAGAGAGAGGGGGAGGGAGGGAGGGAGAGAG